CTCGCACAGCGCCTCGCTGGCCTCTTCCTCTGCTGAGGAGGAGAGCGGCGGGGGCAGCTCGGTGGCGCTGGATCCCCTGGAGCACGCCTGGATGCTGTCGGCTGCAGATGGCAGGTGGGAGAGCCTGGAGGGACTGCTCAGCTGCGAACCAGGGTTGCTCTCCAAGAGGGACTTCATCACGGGTTTCACTTGCCTGCACTGGGCTGCCAAGCATGGGCGCCAGGAGCTGCTTGCCATGCTTGTCAACTTTGCTCACAAGCACCAGCTGCCCATCAATATCAATGCCCGCACCAAGGGTTGCTCTCCAAGAGGGACTTCATCACGGGTTTCACTTGCCTGCACTGGGCTGCCAAGCATGGGCGCCAGGAGCTGCTTGCCATGCTTGTCAACTTTGCTCACAAGCACCAGCTGCCCATCAATGTACACAGCACTACATCTAGCCGCCATGCATGGCCATCTGGAAGTGGTCAAGCTGCTTGTGGGGGCCTATGATGCAGATGTGGATGTGAGGGACTACAGTGGGCGAAAGGCCTCCCAGTACCTGAGCCAAAGCACCACGGAAGAGATGCGGAGCCTGGTGGGAGCCCTCCAAGAGGAGGGTGAAGGTGCCACGAATAATGGGAGTGGCCGCTGGAGACTCTCCAAGGTGCTCCCCTCCAACCTCATTGCCTACAAACTCTCCCACCACCTCCATGGGCCTGGTGAGGAGACTGAGTTGGGTGAGGGGGCAGCGGCCTTTGGCAAGGGTAAGGAGATGAGCAGGAAAGCCTCAAATAGTGGTAGGATGAAACCTCGGCTTAACAAAATCCGATTCCGCACCCAGATCATTCACACCACCCCCTCTCTCCGTGCGGAGACTGAAGAAGAAGAGCAGGAGGACAAGTCACTGAAAACATCCTTCAAACTCAGACCCAAATCCAATGTCTTTGGATAAAGTGGGGAGACAGGCAGGGCACCTAATTAGGGGTGTAACATGCTCCTGAACCCATTGAGCATGTAGTGCAGAAAAGGGGAGGTGCATGCAGGCCTATGTGAACGGCAGCCCCTCATCCAGACTTATGCATTCCTCAGGAGATAAAGCTAAATATCTTGTTTAACTTCTGAATTTCATTAAGTGTACAGTAGGGCTGCAGGGCTCTTGGGATTTAGCAATTTCCAGGAAATAGCTGCTTCAAGCCAAGCAATGGAGGCTTCCCATACTTAAGAGCTGTTTCCTTGCAAGTACAGCTGGGGTAGTAGGTCTGTAAAGAAGTGTTGAGTATGTAAAATTGGTGGGCCTCCTTTTTCTTTTTCTTTTTTTTTTTTTTTTAAAGAAGCTAGACCTCAGGGTCTGGAAACCTAGTACACTCTTATTTTGGTTTTTAAAGTGTGATGGAGGGGGAAAAAGGGTGGGGAGAGAATCTAAAACTTTACATTTTGATACTAGATTATCAACCAGTACTACATACTGCTCTTCATGGACAGCTATTTCAGGATTTCTTGAATACGTTCATGTGTTTTTAAAGTCTTTTTTTTCCAAAAGGCAATACTACGTGACAAAGTAGCATTAGGTACAAAAGGTCAAAAGTGCTCTGCTGACTGTCAGGATTTTTTGTAGATATTTGAGCTCTAATCCTCAGACTTAAGATCAGTCTTAACTTTACCTATTCAAATCATAGAATTCAAATTCTCAAGTCAATGGGATGTCTTACAAAGGATATAGTTAAGCATGATGTAAGTCTTTGCTTAATTGAGGTACTACTGAACTCTTAAGTGGTGGAATGCTAATGCTGAATACAGTAGTGTGGTGGAAGGTCTTTAACTTTTATATGTTGAATAACTGCTAATTAAGTTCTGTATCAAAGCAATTCTACTTTTATAATCACTGTGAATTCTCAAATACTATGTCTAGTATCATTTGAGTTATTAATGTTTGGTTTAGCTTGCTAACCCTAACTGGATTAATAGCAACACTTTTACTGTTGATATAGTCTCTATTCAAAACGAGGTAACTATACTATACATCTCATCCAAGAAGAGAACTTTTCCTTAAAGTATAGATGGTGTAGCATAATATCTTCATGCAACTAATGAGATATTGAAAATTCAGTGGTGCTGTTCAGTGCATTTTTAATTGTCCTCTATCTTCCAGCTTCTGCAGAGTCGTAGATACACAAATCTACGACCCAGAAACTCTTTTCTAAGGCCACCTCTGTCCCAGTTTGTTCTGGACATTGAGTAAAAATACACATTTCACCTAAAACAAATCTCTGTATCTTGAAACTTCAAAATCCTTCATCTCTTTAGAAAGATACTACTGGAAACTCAAAATAATATCCTTTTCCTCAAAAAGAGGCATTGGGCTGGTCCTACATCTAGAATGCAGCTGGCTACTGGAAAAAAAATGTGCATAAATGTCAAACATTTTCATTGGCAGTATTTTAAGTTAACCTTTCTTGTAATGTATGTACTTATTTATAAAATCTTACCCAAAAGTATATGACTTTAGAAATGCATACAATCTAAATCTGAAGCACTAGTTAAATGCATGCGGCAAGGACTAGGCATCTGTATAATGGGAGAGCTGTTTCTGAGGGATCTGTGCTTTCTCTTGTGTTGACAGCTTTCTTATTTTGATGGCTCCAATGCGGGGGAGAGGACTTTCCCACAGATTTTTCAATTTTTGTATGACTGACCTATGTATGATAGTCACATAAGTAAACAATTAATCCTATGCCAAATTATTATTAGAAAAACTGACCTTGGCGAGCAGTCTAATCAGTTTTACTCATTATTTAGGTTTAGGTCATTGTTTTTGTGCAAAAACACTAAAAATCATGGAGGTATTAATTTTATAATTTATAAGATATAATATAAAATTCCATGTGTCTACAGTTTTGGTTGTATACTACACGCATGGGTATATTCTGTCCTAAAAAGCACTTTCATTCATCTCTGTATGGGGCAGGGCTAACAAGCTCCCCTCAGTACTTTCTGCTAGTATATGATTTGGTGCAACAAGAATTAGGTGTTTCAAAGGTGGGGCGCACACTTGAGAACTAGGTACTTGCACCTTAAACATTCTGCAGTGCAGAAATAAAATCTTTATACTAGATTTTCTGTAAAACGAACAGAAGGCTTATTACTTCTACGGGCTTCTAGCTTGAGGCTCCTTGAGTACTATATTTTTTAAGTTGGCACACATTTCATGCTACTGCTACCTGTTTCCAGATTTTGACTCTATTAACCATTAGTGTAGCAACTATGAATCCTTGTGTATCTTTCATCATTTTGAGTGAGTCAGGTGTTAGGTTTTTCAAGTGTAAATCTGAAAACTGCACAAATATAGAATCTTGATTTTTTTTGTACTCAATTTGTGAAGGGGGAAATAGTTTGGCACAAATAGTTGGAAATAGGACTACTGTACTCTTCAAATTGTGTTCTAAGTTATCGATTAAAATTTCTTAGTAATACCTGCAAAAAAAAAATCTTCATTACTTCACAACTGATAAAACCAGTAAAAATTATTGGAATTTGCAATTGGTAAATGTGCATCACAGTTTAGTTTTAATTTTATACTACATACCACTCTAGTAAATACTTTTTTTAGACATATTACAGATAAGCCTTAGTAGTATAGACTGCCCATAGCACTAGAAAATCTGAGTTGTGAAAGCATAAACTATGGTGAATTCAAGTACAAAGGTAGCTAGGTTTTGCTGTAGTAACTCCAAATGGCTATCTAATCAAATTTCTGCTTGTGCTATGGGACTAAAAGATTTTTTTTTTTTAAACCCTCAACCTTTTATATTCCACTGTGTTTATTGAGCTAAAACGAGTTTCTCTGTGGGGTAGGAGATTATTCTTGATGCTGTGTTTCAGGATATTCATAGTCTATCGGTACTCTTAAAATTTATGTAAATTAATTAGCAAATATGTTGCCAAGCAATACATGAATTGAATTAAAATTTGTATGGTACAAAACTGGGGTACTTACTAGTGGGGTTTATTATGGTACACTTGAAATATTGAATGTTTATCTGTTGTTCAGTTATGATAGTGTGATAACAAACCTGTAACTTAACCACTTGATCACTTTTAATGCATCTTTGCCTGAAATATTGGAGGCCTGGATGTCAGTCAGTTTAATACAAGGTGGGTTTTTTTTATGGGTGTCTATCTGAATGGATATTTGAGCTAAGAATTTGCAGAACATTAAACTTTCATTTTACTGAAATGTAAATTAGTTGTTTTGCTTCAACTTATTTGTGTATGTATGCACAGTGTATGTATGCACAGTGTATATTGTGTATCAGATTGCTATTTTCTGAGAGGTTTGTAGATCCATTAATTTTATTTTTTTTTTGTTCTAATCACCAAAATAAAAGATGATACAACTCTTCAACCACTGGTAAGCTGGGGGAAAGTGGCCTTTGTTCTTTGTAAGACAGTAGCCATTTTTGCTGGCTATTAAGTACTCTTGACTAGTTCACTTTGATTAATTTTAAAGTGCCTTTGAAGTTTTCCATGCTAGATAGGACTGGCCTTTTAAAGAAAAGAGCCTCATTTAGGCCTAACCTCTAAACTTAGCTATTGTCCTGAATCTGCTGTTTCTGTGTAATCAAAACCATTTTGGAAAGGCAGATGTACCTAAATAGTGGCCCTGGAAGCTATGCCAGATTAATAGTTCAAAGTTTGTTCATTAAGCTTGTCCAACACATTCATTAATAGGAAGTACCTTCCATTCACATGGTAAATTGAGGTTTTCAGTTTACAAACTTTTGTCAATATGGATAATCTGTGTGTATGCACATATGGTCATGCTACTCAAAACTGCTAGGTATCTACTCCATTTGCTTATTTTAGGGCTCAAGTCTAGATGAAATGGCAATTCTGGTTACTGTACATACATCTGTTTGTAGCTCACCCTTCTTTGCTCTGTTTATTTTTTCTTCCATAAAGGTCCTGTTTGCAGATGAAGCAATTGGCTAGCCAACAAGCCTGCCACTTTCTTTCCTTCACTTTCACTCATGAGGGTGAAGACTGCTTTTTTAAAGAGATGGTTGCCAGTTGTTCTCCTTCCCTGAAACACAACAAGAGATGTAATCAGTTTATCTGATCTTGCTAGGAAGTCTTAGCCTACCCTGTGCAGTTACTGGGTTGGAAGATGAGAAAATGAGGCCACAACACAAAAGTGGTGTTAGCTTAGCAGGAAAACTCTTGCTGGGTGAAGCCACTTTGCTCCTCTCTATTCCTACCATCTGCACATGGTTGGCCCATGTTTTGTCCTGAACAGGCACTTACGTCCAGTAGTGTGAATTTAAGCTATATTGCCAGCTGTAAATGATACTCCTAGGAGTGAAATGACACAAAGATTGGGTTAAATACATGCAGATGCTTTCCTTTTCTCTACCATTGCTGTGTAATCAACAGTTGGTATCTCAGAGGCTAAGGAATACTGGTGAATTTATCTCATTAGAATGCAAGAAAGTGTCAAATAGTGTTTGTGTTTGTTTGTTTGAACGGTGTGGCTTGTTCGGGAGTAGGAGACATTGATGAAACTAAATGTAATTATGGTGATTTATTGCTGATGGTTCTGCTTGGGAAAGTGTTCTTGGCCTTAGTGCATATTACAAGCTGCTTTCTGAAAAGTCCCACTCAAACCGGTGCAATGTTCCTCTTTGCTACAGTCTCAAGATAAACGTGTTACCACTTTTGTGCATGCAGATATCAGAAAGTAAGTGACATGTTTTATCTAAACCACTTATGATACAGAAGTTTTTAAATGTTGCCACTAAACTTAACACTGTATGGAGGCTTTGTCTAGCACTAAGGCTGGAAGAAACACTACCAGTGACTATTTTTTTTAAAATCACACCACACCTAAATTTTTTTGAAATGTAACATGCCACATCTTGCTGCAGCATCTTTCTTCCAAACTTTTTGGAGTAAATAGTTTGTCTTGTACATGCTTGTCTATGTTTCTGGTTCGGTAAAGAACTCAAAGCACTTCAAAAGTTTGTGGTAAGCTGTGTTGTAACTTAATGGCTTGAGCACTGGAATGGACTCGATCTCAGTTTTATTCCTGGCTTTACTGCTGGCCTGTTGAGTTGTCCTGGGCAAGTCTTTTCACCTCTGCTAGTTTCCCCATGTGTAAAATAGCTAATAACCACCCTTGTAACGTGCTTTTGAAATTTACTAATGAGAGGTAAAGTATGTAATAACCTCTTTTCCTTCAGTCTGCCTTGTGATTGTAATAGTCTGATGGGCAAGAAGTGATTGGTTTTTGTTTTTCTGTTATCCTTAAGGTGGCATTTCCTTGACAGATTTGTGGTACATCCCTGAAGCATTTTTAACTACTCTTCAACATACTTTTTGTCTTAGAGCTGTGGGTGTTTTTCATTTCTCATAGGGCAAGGTCTATCTCTATTGAACAAATATAAAACCTGTTAACTTTTAGGAGGTAAAAATGGAAACAGGTGTTTCAGGTCATAACATCACAGGATCAATAATATTTAAAACAAACTTATGTTCCTTAGAAATTTGGAGGGGGAAGAGAGATGCTGCAAATCAGTGATCCAGCCATACATTGATATTTGGCGCTGGAAGACATGTATTTTGAGCAACATAGTTGACTCTCTCTAAATGAGCAGCAACTGCATTTTCAGCTTTCATCACATTCTTAAGTGCAAGAGGAACATGGCACTGGTCTCCGTTTCTCTTGAACTTTGGTAAGTCTTTTATTTTATTTTAACACCAAATCAACCCTCTCACTGGGGGGTGAATATCTATGTAATGATTCAGTGTCTCTCTTCTCACTGTATGAGCAAGGGTGAACTAAAGCCATTGCCACTTCATAAGGCTGAAACTTTTCTTTAAACACTTCAGTCATGAAATGTTACGGGTTTTTTTCCATTTCAGAAATTGACTTTAATTGCACTGGTAAGAGACTAATATAAGTTTTAATTAAAAGACAATTCCTTTAGGGCCTGAACTCCCTGTCCATGAAAACGAGATGCCAAGGTTCTAGTAAACGAAAGTCTTACTGACACTGATTTAGCTTACAGAAAGATTTCTCCAAGTATTTTTTGCATATTATTTTCAAGTGATGAGAAACAGCATTCAAACTAATAGAACACATTTAAATATTTATATCTTGCAAATGGTATACATGTTTCATAGAACTTTCCTCAAGAATTGAATGAAAAACTGACCACTTACTGGTGTCCTTTGTACTCGAAGCACAGCAACAAAAAACAACTATTCTATTTTTAACTAAAAATCTGTGCCTGGTGGTAACTTTACACCACCTGTAAGGAGTCAGTGTTAAAGGTGTAATATGGACACACAGAATGAACTTCCACTCTGTTTTACATACAGTCTGGATTTTCTATTGGGTGTTTTTCTCACAACTGGAGGAGATGGTGTTTGTGCTCCATGGGAAAGAAGTTGTATTCAAGAGTGGGAGGAAATACTGAAAAATAACTTGTCTTTCAGAGGTGTTAAAAATCACACCCGCACATCCCCCAAAAGACAAAAGTTTTGCTGACAACCACTGTGAACAGCACTCTGTATGA